TACACAGAGGGGAGTGCAGTCGCAGGAGTTCCAGCACAGTGCTGTGCCAGAACTCCTGTATTGGAGGTCAATAAAGAGAACCTGTCACCTCCAATTGCTATCACACAGGGGATTGTGTTCTCCTGTGTGATAGCAATAAAGTTAGGTGAAATTTTTTTTAATTGATTAAAAAAAAATAATTATAAATAAAAATTAAAAAAAATAATATGAAATAATTAAATAACATAATATACAGGGGTACGGGTACACCTAACAGCAAAATCACACATGGACTAATAAACACACCAGCTCAAACATAAATGCATACACACAATAGGTTGGACTTGATGGACTTATGTCTTTATTCAACCTCAAATACTATGTAACTATGTAACTATGTAATGCCCATGGCACTTCAGTGAAAGGACTGCCAGCACCATTGCTGCCCAGCTGGAATAATTATGTAACTGAATGTAAAGGTGCCCATACACTGCTCGATTCTCGTACGAGAATCGTGCAGTGTGAATGAAGACGTGCGACCGTTTCTACTGTACGGTCGCACGTCTTTTGTCTAAGGAGCACGCTAGAAAACCAGCCGAAAATCGTACGTTTTTTGGCTGGTTTGAATGATGCTCGGGAGACAAATGCCGAACGGGCCGGTGTGCGCACGCGCACACTGCCCTCCAGCATTGTGGTCATCGGGGGGGCGGGCTTGCGATGATCGCAAGTACGATCTGCCTGTCCAAGATGGGCAGATCGTACATTTTTTAAATTACTTTACAACCATCGCAAGACAAAGGTCTTGCGATGGTTGTAAAGTGTATGGCCACCTTTAAGGTGTCATACACCTTACGATTATCGGACCATTTTCGTATGCGATCGACTTTTCGTCCGATAATCGTATGTGTGCATTGCAGTGTCCGACCGACATTACTGTACAATTGTACGACTTTTGACGGTCAAGCATGTTTGAAAACTTTGCTCGATCGTACGATTGTCGTAAGGTTGCTGGCGTTTCCGTCCGTCAAAAGTCGTACGATCTACACTGCGCATGCGCGAACGAAAATACGACAAATCAATTTCCGCATTTCGTCCAGGTTCTTTTCGTTAATTACGTCTAAATTAATCTTGCGATCATAGGGGCAGGATGGGGCTGCCGTACGAAAATCGTACGACTATTCGATCATCGGACGAAACGTTTCGTCCGATAATCGTAAGGTGTATGGGCACCTTTAGGATAAGCCTGCATTACCACCTGAACTGAATGAGTTTCAGGTGATTTAGAATCTTTATTTTTTTAATGTTTTTTGCATGCTTACATATGCATTTTTAAAGTATATTACCGTACAAGCATTTTGCATGTGCAATAACAGCCAGCACCATTGCTGCCCAGCTGGAGTAATTAAAGTGACACTAAACTCAGGAGTTAAATCTTAAAAAATACCTTCAAGTCCCTTAACTAACATTAACAACAATGTATCTTATTTGTGTATCACTCGGCTGTAGATCCTCCAATCAACTCTGACACTGTCCTTCCTTCTGGAGGGGTGGCTACTTCTGTTACCCATGGCCCCTGTGTGTGTTTAAAGTAGTCACCGCTCCAAGCTTGCTCCCGGGATGGACTACAGTCTCATGTTTAGTTTACTCATTTGTATTGAGATTGTAGTCCATCCCATAAAGTACAACACGCACAGGGACCATGGGGAACAGAAGTAGCCTCCCTCCAGAAGGAAGGACAGTGTCAGCACCAATTCAGAGATGATTGGAGGATCTACACAAATGATGATACACAAATAAGATACATTGTTGTTCATAGTTAAGTGACTTGAATGTATTTTTATGATTTACTTCCTGAGTTTAGTGTTTTAAGTAACAATGTCTGCCACAACTGCACAGGATACTCCTGCAGTCCCACCTGAGCTAAGCCATTTTCCAGCAATTTAAAAGCCTTTTTTGTGTGTTTTTGTGCACTCAAGCTTGCATGTGTATTCAAGCTTGGGGTGTTTCTGTTTTGGCCAATTGAAAGCAGTCCTCCAAGTGCAAAAATGCATAAGAAAATGTGCACAAATGTGTGTCACGCGTTCGCAGGAATTCCCATTGACATATATGGGGGTCAAAAACACATATTATGCTCCAAAGAAAAGCTCATGCACTGGCATACAGGCGTTGCACTATAAGCGTGCACATTTTTTAAGCATATTACAAGCCTTTTGCATGTGTATTCAAGCTTCAGGCATTTTTGGCCAATGGAAAGCAAATCTTCAGGAGTGCAGTTCTTCAGGAGGAGAGCAGTTCTTCAGGAGGAGAGCAGTTCTTCAGGAGGAAATCAGTTCTGTAGGAGGAAATCGGTTCTTCATCCACAAAAATTAGCAAAAGCCCTTATGTCGTGCATTTACAGGGGCTCCCTTTGAAGTCTGCTGGGCCAAAAGTGCCCAAATACGCCCCATAAAAAGCTCATGTACTTCTTTGCTCAACAAGCACTGAGCTATAAGCGACTGAGCGCTCAGACGTGAACAGACTCGATTTAAAACAATGAGGATTTTTGATGTTGAGCGTTGTTGTGCGTAGGGAAACACGTGACAAAACGCTCAATGGTGGCTAATGGTGAGCTCTTCCCGCAGGTCCACAGAGGTACACAATTCCTAATCACCACCATTACCCACTGAAAAAAAAAAACACACTGAGCATCAACCACAATGCAATTAACACAGTAAATGACAAATAATTAATTGTTGTTCATTGAGCGGGGCAATCCCGCTGTCTGGTATTATTTCTCCTATCAGGAATCCATGGGACGCCTTAGCAATCTCTTTGTGCACAATAAGTCTGCCACCGATGTTAGCATCCAAACTATGCAGAATCTCAGATGAAATGAGTGGGTGGGGGGTATAATCTATATAATGATGGGGAGGGGGAACATCTGTTTAGCATCTGGTTACTCTGGAATACCCCACGTGTAACATGCCTTTTGTTTCGGAGCCTTCCATGTATGACAGCTCACGTGTCCAAGGGGCTACAATGTGATTATGTTATCAAGCTACAATGTTAAATGCATAGCAACATCCTCTGAAATAGAATATGATCACATGATATCAAGGATCCCTAAACAAAACGTGCTGATGATACAAGATAAAGGGGGTCTCGCCTATCAAGTATTAGTGATCCCGTCTGGAATATGGAAGTTGTGGACTGTCACAAAGTAAGAGATGGAGGGGCTCCCTTTCCTCTCATACATGACTGTTCACTCCGGGGATACTCACCAGACGGGTCTTCCTTTCCTGGTATAATACAAGCCATACATGTGCTGCTCCGTCCATTCAGTAATTACTGTTTTGAGATTGTGATCATGAATGCGTTTGGACGGGTTACAAAATTCTGGTGATTTTTAAACCAATCGTGTAGATTCTGAAATGGTCACTTTAAATCTTTGTTACTTTTTTACAGAATATGTTTCACTTTGAAAGCTATTAGACTTCTGCAGGAAAATGACCCGTTTGTGTTACATGAAGCGATGAATTCAGACAAACGATTAACAAAGTGATCGGATTAGAAGTCGACCGCATGAAAAACCAATAATATCATGAGGGATCCTATCACACTATGAAATACAATGTACCAACTACATGTGATAGAGATACATATTGGGGGGAATTTATCAAAACTGGAGCAGATAAAATCTCAAGCAGATTTGCACGGCAACCAATCAGCTTCTCTGTTTCATTTTCACATCTTGCCTGAACAAACTGAAGAGAGAAGCTGATTGGTTACTACGGGCAACTGCTCCAGATTCTTCTGCTCCAGTTTTGATAAATTCCCCCCATTGTATATAAGAAGCATGGGAAGGTCCTGACGTTATGCAGGGGCCCCCTTGATAATGACATGGAGCCCAACATCTACTCAGAACAAGAATATATGAGGGAGGGTCTTACTATACATACGAGGGTCTCCTCCAATAAGAAGAACATTGCCTCTCTGCAAAGGGGGTCTCTCAATATAAAGAGTACAGAGCACCCCTCGCTCCATAACACATATGGAGTCTCCCCATTATGAGAAGCAAGAGCCTGCCTTCAAGACTCCTAAAGCTCCCCCACCCCATAGAACACACAGGGGATCCCCCATTATAAGTGATACAGAGCCATCCCCCTCCTCCATAACACACAGGGAGTCCCCCATTATAAGAAGAAAGTGCCCGCCTTTAAGACTCATAGAGCTCCCCCACCCCATAGAACACACAGGCAGTCTGCCATTATAAGGTATACAGACATCCTCCCTCCATGACACACAGAGGGAGTCCCCAATTATAAGGAGGACCCCCCTTCAATAACACACAAGGAGTCCCTAATTAGAAGGAGGACAACCCCCCCTTACTTCAATAACACACAGGGGCCCCCCAATTTAAGAAGCACAGAGCCTTTCTCCACATAAAGGGTCACATTCATGAGTACAGAGCCCCCATCTTACGTTCACACAGGAGCCCCCCTATTATGGGATGTACAACATATACAGGTGTACCCCATTATAAGGAGTACAATCCCCCAGCACACGCACAGGAGCCCCCATTATAGGAAGTACAACATACACAGTGGTCCCCCATTATAAGGTGTACAATAACACCCCAGCAAGAGCACACACAGGGGTCCCTTATTATATGAAGTACAGGCCCCCCCATCTCAGAACACACACAGGGGTCCCCCATTATATGAAGTACAGGGCCCCCCCCTCTCAGAACATACACAGGTGTCCCCCATTATATGAAGTACAGGGCTCCCCTCTCAGAACATACACAGGGGTCCCCCATTATATGAAGTACAGGGGCCCCCCTCTCAGAACATACACAGGGGTCCCCCATTATATGAAGTACAGGGGCCCCCCTCTCAGAACATACACAGGGGTCCCCCATTATATGAAGTACAGAGCCCCCCTCTCAGAACACACACATGGGGTTCCCCATTATATGAAGTACAGAGCCCCCCCTCCCAGAACACACACAGGTCTCTCACCAGTCCGGGAAGAAGCGGGGAATGTGGGTTCTCTCCGTCTGTCTCGGGCTCTCTCGGCGAATGTGGGGCACTCTCGGGGACTGTCGGACTCTCTCGGGGACTGTCGGATTCTCTCGGGGACTGTCGGACTCTCTCGGGTTCCCTCGGGTTGTCTCTCTCCTCGCGCCCTCCGCAGCTCTCAGGACCAGACCCGGAGCCCGCTTACTCCATCCATCCCGTTACCTGAGCAACTGTTTCCCCGCCCCGTCCTCCCAACCAGTCATTGCAAAGACCCGGAGTCATGTGCTGAGGCTCCGGCCAATCAGAGTGCGAAGAACCTCAGCATCTCTTCAGCCAGGTTGGGACTCGCTCCCTGAGCGGGACGGTGCGTTAGAGAGAGTGAGGGGGACCGCACACAGGGACCCTAGGGGAGGGGGGGAGAGTTAAAGGACCGCACACGGGGTCCAATGGGGGGAGAGTGAGGGGACCGCACACAGGGTCCCTGGGGGAGTAGAGTGAAGGGTGTCTCTGGGGTGAGAAGAGTGAGGGGACCGCACACAGGGTCCCTGAGAGAGTGAAGGGACCGCACAGGAACCCTGTTTGGGGAATGAGAGTGACAGGGACTGCACACAGGGACCCTGGGGAGGAGAGTAAGGGGACCACACACAGGGTCCATGGGGGATTGAGAGGACCACACAAGGTCCCTGGGGGAGGAGAGTAAGGGAACCACACGCAGGGTCCCTGGGGGAGTGAGGGGACCGCACATACCCTAGTACTGGAGGATGGGGTGACTGAATACAGGGATCTGGGGCGTGGGGGACAGAGAGAGTGAGGGTACTGCACACAGGGCCCCTGGAGAAATGGGGGGGTTGATAGGACTGTACACAGGAACCCCGGTGGGTGAGAGTGAGGTGACTGCCCCCCTGGGAAGGAAGGAGAGAGTAAGGGGACCACAAACAGGGAACCCTGGGGGTGAATGAGCGGGCAACACACAGAAACTGGGGGGGGAGGGCGGACAAGAGCAGTCACCCTGCACAAGGACATAGAGCAGCAGTGACCGGTCTTTATTACAGGAGGAGCGGAGACAAGACCAGTCACCCTGCACAAGGACATAGAGCAGCAGTGACCGGTCTTTATTACAGGAGGAGCGGAGACAAGACCAGTCACCCTGCACAAGGACATAGAGCAGCAGTGACCGGTCTTTATTACAGGAGGGTGCGGAGACAAGACCAGTCACCCTGCACAATGAGAGAGAGCATCAGTGACCGGTCTTTATTGCAGGACGCTCCTCACGCTGGATTACTGCACAGATCTTAAGACAGTTGTCTTAAAATAACTCATTATGATCCATCACATGAGATCACTCGAATCGCATTGCATCCTTGAAGAAGTGGAAATGCGTATTTTGGGTGTTACGTGAAACAGGGTCAGATCTCAATCCAGAATGGGAGGAAGAGTCTGCAGGAGCCAGAGCATTGCACCCCAATACACTGAGCACTGGCAATGCTTTACTGGCACCAATGCAAAAAAAAAAAAGAATAAATTCCCGTTATTTCTGTTTATGAGGAAGCTTATATTTATTATATTTTATAAAAAAGGGGAATTTCCCTTTGAACCTCTGATATGAATGTGCTGAGCCTGGAGTGAATGCTACACACATCGTGTTTTACAAAGTATGGAATATTCGGATATACCTAATGATTGCAGCGCCCTCTGGTGGCAGCCAATGATCTCCCACCACCAACAAGAGAGGGATCCGCTCCTTCTTCATTGTGTCTTCTGTTGTATGGTTCGCAATGCATTTTAGGAAAAGATTAAAGGGCCCGCTCACACCTCACCATCCTTCTGTGTACACATTGTGTCCACACTTTAGGGCCCATTCACACTAGATGTGGTGCGTTCCGGCCGATTCTGGCCAGAATGTACTTCCTCGCATTGCAGCCGGCTCACTTTTTAGTGGAGCAGAAGGGGGCGTGGCGGGCCATTCAAGTGAATGGCACCGTAGCCACTCCCCCCCCCCCCCCCCCGCCGCAATGCGATCGCCCGCACGGGATGGCAAGGCACATTGTGCCTGCGATCCGGTGCGGTGCGATCAAAATAGTGTTTGCAACATTTTTGCAACATGTGCCTTGCGATCGCATTGCGGCCGGAGGGCGTGGCTACGGAGCCGCCCCCTCCTGCTCCACTAAAAAGTGAGCAGGAGGCAGTGCGTTCGGGCCGGAACGCACTGCATCTAGTGTTAATGGGCCCTTAAAGTGACACTAAACTCGGCTGCACGTCACTGTTCTGCACTGGCTTCCAGAAAGTGGACCGTGCCTATGTAATGAGCCGTGACAGCTTGTATCAATCAGGGGTGCAGGTGATTGGGTGACACCGCAGGAGCACAGTTGAGAGACAAGAACAGAGCATTGTCACCCCATAAGCTTAAAAACACACTAAACTCAGGAGTTAAATCTTAGAAATACATCTAATTACCTTAATTATTAACAATAATGTGGGGGATTTATCAAAATCTGGAGCAGCTGTGCACGGCAACCAATCAGCTTCTCTCTTCAGTTTGTTCAGTTAAGAATTGAAAGATAGAAGCTGATTGGTTGCCGTGAACAACTGATCTAGATTTTGTCGGCTCCAGTTTTGATAAATTCCCTTCAATGTATCTTATTTGTGTATCACTCGGCTGTAGATCCTCCAATCATCTCTGAATAGGTGCTGACACTGTCCTTCCTTCTGGGGGGGCAGGTGCTGCGTGTAATTGCATGCAGCCGCTTGTGCCTCTACGTGACTACACGCCGACCCGAACCTGCAAATCCATGCAGGTCCAGGTGCCCGCGTTTGGACGCACACTGTCGGTATCCAAGTGCGGGCACCCAGACCTGCAATCACACTCAGCACCTGTCTCTCCCGGGAGCAGGTCTCTGCACCGTATGGATGTGCACGCCTCTGTGAATGAGCCCTAAGGTTTAAAGGAGAACTATGAGGGGGGGAGGGGGGATGCTTTTCACTCACCTCATAGTTCTAGCCGACCAGCGACAATGAGACTGTCACAGGTCGGCTCAGTAGATCGGCGTTCGCTCACCTCTCTGCCTTGACAGAGGAGGGGCTGGATTCCCCGCTCCGATCCTCCAGCGCTGAGTGGCGGAATGGGGAGGGGGCGGGTACAGCTGGCTCTGCCTCTAGATAGGCAGAGCCAGCTGTCACTCACGCAGCTGGGCGGATCCAGACATAATTGTCGGGATCCGCTTCAGCTGCGTCGTCTCAGTATACCGCTAGCTGTAGCTCCCTATATACTGAGCTTAGGGTGACGGGAGGACGCTAGTTTGTGTCCTCCCGTTACCCTAAGGAGAACTATGGGGAAAAGCCCTGACCCCATAGTTCTCCTTTAATATTTAGTAGACATGTACCAAGTCAAGTTTCCCAGGAAATGACCAATCTTGGCTGGTTGTTATTGGCTTGCACCATTCCTGTCTTTGTCCTAACGAACAAGCCCGATGATGATTTTATTTCATGGACACAGTCGTTTTGCACATCTGATGCACGCAGATGAGACTTCTCAGTATCAGTTATCTACAAATGGGATTATTACATGTCAGTCAAAGAGAAAAAGCTTAAATTAGACCTCCGCAATTATGTCTTGTCTGGGTTCTCTAAACTGTGTTCTCAGACTCAACCTTATCTGTAATTTGATTCTGTCTAGTGAGCAAAGGATTTCTTAGCAAAACACTGCAAAT